CTCTACGGGTTTTTTTTTTTTTTAAACCCTCTTACAAAAACTGAAACATTTGGATTGGAAGCACTAAGCCAGTCTTTAATAATGAGGACTTGAACTGAGCTCGAATTGCCTGGGGAGGGAGCCTTCCTCAACAGAGGGCTTTAAGAAAGTGGGGAAAGCAGGAGATTCGGCTGCATCTTGGGACAAGGAAGGGGTGTGCTGGACATAGGTGGTCCTTTTTAGCAGGGCAGAATTTTTTGCTTGTGTGTTTGTTTCTGTCTTGTTCTTGCTACACCACAAGGTGGCCATCTGAGGATAGTTTCTGGGCTGGCCTGAACTGCCCACAGCCGCTGTGTTCCGGAGTTCCTAGAAATCCCAGGCTTCCACTGGAGATTCTGGGCTCTGTGGGGCCTGTTCTGCTTGAACAGCCATATTTAGGGGGAGACAGGGTGGATTCCGTATTATCCTTCCCATCTTATTGTTCCTGATTCAAAAAATCAGTCTACCATGCTGAAATTATTAGGGGAATTGTAATTTCTAGCAAAGAGGCTTGGATGCCACCAGGGTAGAAACTGAGTCATGATGTTCCCAACCCTCTGGTGGAAATGGTTGAGATGCACGTGAGAGTTTCAGTTCTTCTTCTGACTTTTCTGCATTCTCCCGGGGTGCAGGCGGCCTGGCGGGAGGAAAGCCCGGGGGCCTGCCTGGTGGCGGAGCTCCTCCAACAAATGGTGCCTCCTTTGGGCCCACCATTGAAGAGGTTGGTTAAGCCAACCCTGCATAGATTTAAGATCGCAATCATCGCAACAGATATTGCAGTTATCTTGTGCTGTCTAAGCTCACAATGCACAGGCAGAGACAACACACAACTTGAACCCCAAGATCGCACATCCCGTGTCATTGTGATTCACACGACATAACTGTGTATTCCAGGTTTGTCCTAAAGAGCCCTGGCAAAAGTATTTCTTCAGTGGCCTGAAGAACAAAATCCTGACTCAGCGTCTCTCCGACGACTTTGCTGGCATGAGTTTTCCTGATGTGTCCCGGTGAGTTAAGAGCAATCCTTCCCTCATTTGTGTGCCACAGCGTTCTTTCCACCATGTTCGCGGGGGGCTCACCGTAGGCCAGGCTCTGTGACACACCCTGAAGACACAAGAGGGCTTCAGCCTGCGTGCCCGCAACCTGGAGGTTACAGTCCATGTGGGACCGTTTCATTTCCATCCCAGGTGGCACGCTGGCTGTGAGTTCCTCCAGGGTGGAGTCACTGACAAGTGAACATTCCAGATGTGAGGGGCCCTTTGTCTGCCGGGGGTGGCATTTCCTGGGGCAAAGGGCACATAGTATCAGCCGTGTTCTTGGGCACGAGGCCCCACTGTCCTCTCTTGCCTCACAGTTACTTGTCTTCCTTCCCAGGCTCTGCTTTGTGAAGATGCATCTCATGCTGATAGCCATCGAACACAAATCCATGTGTCACGGTTACTGGTACCAGTGGGCCTTCCAACCTCTTCCTTTTCTTTGAGGAGAATCTTTATGATTAAGATTTTCCCAAACATGCAGCCATCACTTAAGGTTTTTGGCATTTGTTGAGAGCCAGCCAGTCGGGCACCGAGGCTGCTGTGGTGTTGTTAATACTGTCTCTCACGACAGGGGTTATAATCTAAGGATTGAGGTTAGAATGGTTACCCTTGTGGGTGGGCAGGAATTCTGCCTTGGTTCCTGTGGCCTTGCCCCAATTCCCTCTCATGATCAGGGGAGCAAAGAAACGGTCACTTTCTCAGATCTGTTCCTCCTAATCTATTACCAGTTCTTGTAAGTCTTGCCCATGAAATAGAATCATCTGTGATAAAAATTCTACCATCAACTCTAGCCTTAGAAACTAACCTGCGAAATATGGAAAAATGGGAATTTGACTGGCCTCGTGGACAAAGTATGCTGTTAACCAGGTAGATAAAGGGAAGAGGTAACATTATCAGACTATCAGCATTTCCTGAAAACCCATATTGAGTAACGTAAGAAGCAAGAGAAGTTATTGCATAATGAGAAAGAAAATCCAGGAAAAACAGAATCAGCCGCAACGATCCAGAAATAACAGGTGCTGAAAAATACGGAAAAGTGGGGCTTATGTGGGATGAGGAATAAGAAAGGCCACTATGTTGGCTTATGTGTGTCTTTTTAGTGGAAAACTGCCTTGAATTCAGTTGGAATCAGTAGATGAGATAATGATCCTGATTATGATTTGCTGGCCCAGTGGCCTTGGAGAAGTGTCCGTCATCTGTAAAATGAGGAGATCACATGAATTAGTCCCTAAGACCCCTTCCAGCTCCAACACTGAACCCTTGAATTATAGAGAAACAGTCAGGACTCAATAATTTTTGAATGATACCCGATGGGCCATAAAGGGATGATTTTATTGGAAAGAAGAAGCAATCTCTCAAGTAGGGAGGATGTGGAAGATACCTGGGCAAAAAGAATTGGTGAGATACTGTAGAAAGTAAATCCTTAAGCAGAGAGTGAGGAATAGTGTTAACTGGCTGGCTACATTTCATTGAACAATTCTGCCACGCTCAAGAAAATCTCAGACTCTAAACCCATGTCAAGTCTCCTTTCTACTAGAAACAGGTCAGAGGAAAGATGATGACTTCCTACTTAGCCTCATTCACCAGGCCATTTAGGTTTCATACTAGCTCAGAGCTTGATCAAGTTCTAACATCTTTGGCCTTCCCCAACCTGGGTTATACATCGGAGTTATTTGCAAAGTTTTAAAGACGTATAGAATTCAAAACCCCAGTTCTGATTTTATAAAATCAAAATCTCCAAGGATACCAAAATCTCCTGTGAATTTTTTTAAGTCCGCATGAGATAGTCATTTTCCTCACTGACCTTCAGAAGTGATTGGACCAAATGCTCCTAATACTGTTTCGACAAAATATTTCTATAAACTTTATTAGGATGGTTGGTAGGACATGGTAGACCAGAAACATGAATAAGCAACTGATTTCTACACGTATTCAAGGAGCCCTGGTACTGCTTACTAGCTAGCCATACATCTGCCCCCACTAAAAGGGGCACCTGCTCCAACATAGATTTAACTGTGGTTTCTCACCAAAGAGTCAGATGCCTCAAAGGGATGAAATCCTGATTGGGCAAACATACTGACATTAGCAGTCTTACCTGATCGCGTGTTCATGACCAGCACTGCTATAGACCCTTCTCTTCCATCAACTCCTGAATCCTCACAGCGATGCTGTAGGAAGAGTATAATTAATAGGCCCATTTCATGGGTTGGAGCTCAGAAGAGTTCAGTGCTTTCCCCAAGCTTGCACCACCAGCAAGTGGCAAAGCGAGAATCCAAACTCGGTCTGGCTCGGGGCACTCCCGTTCACCAAGCTGTACCAAACCCATAGTCACTGTACATGGAAGGAACGTGGGGCATCGCAGCGCGGGGCTTGAGGCAAGTGCACTGGAAAACTCGGCGGGGGGACCTACCTTTTCTCCCCTTTTACCTTCTCCCCTAATTGATACAGTCGACTGTAGGACTTGCAGACGCCCTGGACAATGCCCAGGCTCTGTCTTAGGGAATAGCTTGCCACCTGCTGAGAGGTGAGGCTGGGTCCAGCCCCCATCAGGTAATGTTCCGAGTTTATTCCACTGGCGAACTTTCTCTAAGAGAACACGTGGCTGTTCTCTTAGAGAAAGAGTCAAGCGATGACGACGGTTTGAGAAAGTCTTCAAAGGAGGTTCGCGTCTTCTTTCAGCTGCAGCCAGAGACACGATCATGGCAGTATCTACATGGCTAAATATTTAACATGGGTTCAGAGGACCCTGCCTTTAAAAGAGGAGAAACGAAGATACAATGGAGCTCAAGTGAACATCAACCAATGGCATCGGGGCAGGGGAGGCACAAGTCCATGTCCTTTCCTTTTCAAAGTGCAAAGCAGTCATTCCAGTGACGTATTAATATCAGTCAATACTCAGAAAGTGCCAGACAGTGTCTCAGGTAATGATGTACTTGAACACAGCCATTCAGCATCTTTCTACTCTTGGCCTAGGGCTAGAGAGCTTTCATTGCACCCATCTTTTATTTTTGCAGGGCTCTCATATGTGCAGGTTACTTTGGACTCTCCTAACAACAGACTGAGCTTTGCCCAAATGAAGACTTGAACTCTTTCCAACGTGAGTAAGAAAGGAGGCGTGTGTTTTCAAGGAGGCAAGGAGTCCTCTCATGACACGCAAACGAAGTGAGGGGAGGTAGATGGTAACAAGTCCTCACCATACTGGAGGTCTGAACTAAAGGAAATAAAAACAGGAGATCCTGACCGACACAGGGAGAAATGCGAGGAACTCAAGAGTCACGGTGGAGTCCTGCCAGACGGAGTGTCGTGAATGAAGTTCGTAAGACAGTGTTTTCAAACACACAGACCATAAGGAAATAGAGAATCAAAATATTCAAGTAGTGTGGAAGGAGAAACAATTCACCTGGTTCCTGCTCTCAAAAATCTTGAAATCAAGGTGGACAAAAGTGAAGTCAGAAGAAACATACAAGTTGGAAAATTGTACAGGCGAATAGAAGGAACTTCTGAATCCAGCTCATTAAGTAGATGTATCTAATTTTAGGAGGCAAATAGCCAAAGAATGTACAGACCAGTATGTACGACTCGTCTGACCAGAAGGGTGACCAGAAGACTAGCCAGCATGTGGCGGTGGCCTGTTTGGCATAAGATAGCTGAAATTAGCAAGGCGTCACAGATCTGAGTTGGTTTGACCATTTCCGGTGCAGGACTCAGTCCAGGAGGAGCTCATCCTCCCTCAGCTCAGTGAGTGGGTTGTCACCTGGTGCCACTCAGCCTATTCAGCAGCAATCAAATAATTAAATACAGTCACGTTCACATTTTCTGTTGTAAATTTTGGCAGTAGATGATAGAGTCCCATGAACCCTGCCCCTTAGAGAATCCATTGGTAAAGACAGAATGAAACACCATATATTGCCCTGGAAATAGGAGGGGGAAATTACTGTTTTTTATTTTCTGTTCCCAGTGGTCTGATACTGAATCCACCTGCACAAGTGAAGCTCCATAAGAACACGTTAGGGTTCTTTATCGCTGAATCCGCAAAGGATGTCAAAAGGTAAATTTTATTTTATTACTTTACAGGGACAAAGTCCTAAAGCAAATGCAATCTAATGTCAGGCAGACTGAGTCCGTGTGGTACTTCCTTCCATGTGCAGCCTCACATAAGTCATTCTTGATTTGTTTGTCTTGTCCAGAGCCTTCTTTTACTGTGCCATCTGTCACAGTGATGTGTATACTCCAGAGCTAATTGGAAAGTGTGGCTGCAAAAACAAGAATCTTCGACACATGACAGGTAAGCGTGCTTTCTGTCCGGCCGTCCCCAGCCCACCTTCCAGGGGGTGTGGCCAAGGGACAGGGAAGGGGGGGTCTGTCTCTTAAGACAAGTGTCCATTGGAACTTGGCCAAGAATTGGCAGGTGTTTACTCACTGGGCATCCAGGACCTGAGAATCAGTCTTTTAGAGCTGGAAGAACCCTTACTGGATACCTAGATCAACCCCGACACAGCCAGGCAAATGCATTCTGATAGAGCTTGAGTCACGTGATTCCCAAGTCACACAGCCCAGGTCAACCCCAGGCACGCTGGCTTTTAGCCTGCTGCTTTTTTGTTGCATCGCACTGGTCTTCCCACCTCAGTCGCATCTGCATGCTTGGTTGGCCATAAAGATGCCACCTCATGACCCTTTGTATTAAAAAAAAGTCATTGGGTTATCACTGACATACAACATTGTATAATTTTAAGGTTTGATACGCTTATATTGCAGTGTGATTGCTGCGGTAGCTCTAGCCAGACACCTGTATCACGTGCATAATTATCATTTCTTCTAGTCTGGGAACAACACCATTCCTTGAGTACTCTGTTTCCTTCCTAGATTGTAGGGAGTTTAAAGTTTATTCATTCTGACCCAGTGATGAGGAAATGTGACTTTCTCTCTTTTCTCAAATTGAACCCGAAATAGCTCACCAATGACCCTTTTCACTTCACAGCAGAGAAAGGAAAATGTATCTCAAGCATGCATGATAACAGAGTCCCTTCTGGCTTAAAACAGTCTCTTCCTGGTACATTGAGATTGTTTGGGTAAAAATCCCAGTGTTTAAACTTAATCAGTTCAAAGTCTGAATTTCCTAGCAAGACTCTCATCTCTATGGTTCTGATCTTCTGCTCGCCCCAGTGGTATTCTATTTAAATGCAGGAGTAAATGTGCTTAGCATCGTTGTAACCTTGTACAATTGGACAGCCGGGCATCATTTCATGCAAGTCCTTGCTGGTTCCTGAGGCCTGTGCCAGTTTCTGTGACCTCTGCATTGGCAACTCTGTTCCTCCTGGGTTTGGGTCACCTTCGGTCGTTTGTTACTGAAATCTGTCGTCCCTGCCATGGCCTCTGGTCTGGAGGTCATCAGGGCCCCTGTACTCCTAGTCTTTTTATTCCGTATGTTATTTGAGTCTCTCTGCTGTGTGAGATTTTCCCATCTCCCCACATAGGTACGTAGGTTTGTCAGGATGTGGGAACCTAAGTGATGCCTTCTCGGGCTTTCGTCCTGCTTAAACACACATGCCACCTTCTCTTCCATAGTCATCTTGCCTCGTTACCCAGCACTCCTCGGAGTGCACTGCGCACCAAGAATCTGCATCAGAAGGATTTCCAGATGGATTTTCTCCCCTCGCACATCACAAAACTATCACATTCTCCTTGCCTCGCTACCCTCTCACCATCCGGAAGCACTAGATGTGTGTGCTGGGTGGTGGAAGGGACTGAGTCTTTTCTCAGGGGTCCAGGCACTGCCACTTTTTTTTTTAATAATAGCTTTATCAAGATATAATTCAAATACCACGAAGTAAAATACCACATGCTTTTAAAAGGTCCAAAAATTCAGTGGACTTTTTGTATGTGAGCAGATTCGTGCAACCATCACCACAGTCAATTTGGGAACATTTTCCATATCTCAGGAAGAGACTCCATACCCCGTAGCAGGAACTCCCTGTTCTCTTCTCCCCACGCCCCTGGCGACCTCTAGTCTACTTTCTGTCTCTCTAGATTTGCCTCTCCCGGCCATGTCATAAAAAGGGAGTGACACCTGATGTTGCTGCTAAACTCTCTTCCTCTGCTGGTATCACACCCAGCTCTTGGGCCGCACTGACTGGCTGCCGATGACTCTGTTATTTTTGACAGTATAAATGGCTCCATCACACTGTCTGGTTTAAGTTGAGCCCCTTTGCAGGAGTAATTTCTGAGGCCAGTCTGACGCTTGTTCTGACCCTGAGCACTTACTAGCTGTCTCTCTCCTGCTTCTCTGTAGTAAATTCTGGCCCGTGGTTTACCTTGTGTTCTCATGGGGCACGGTGTCCTCTTAATTATTTGCCACCAAAATCACCATTGTTTTCAAGAGCAGCCTTGGGCTTGAGGTTCTCCACGCTCTGTTCCAAGTAAAGCCGGTTCCCTTGGGAAGAGCATCAGTGCTTTCCATTCTGGTGGCCCGCCTACCCCTCCAGGCAGAATCTTTGAGCCACTACCCAGGAGCTGGGGGGTAGAAATAGTGGCCCCCTTCTCTCAAATGGACACCTCTGCTTTTTGAGGAGGTCTCTGGGCCCTGGTGGGAGCTTCTGGCCTTGGTTTGCCTCTCCCACTGTGAAGCCTCTGCCTTGGGTGCGAGCTGGGGTGAGAGTAACCAGCACACCATGGTTTTCACCCTGTGACGCCAGGGCTGGCGCTCTACCCCGAGAACAACAGCTGCGTGGAGGAGGGGGCCTCCATTCTCTTGACTGTACTGCCCTGAAACTTAGCCTTGGCAGCATGAGACATGCTGGTACCCTGCCCCTCCCAGAGACACACGAAACACACCATAGCCCTTGCCTGGGAGCTGGAGGGAGAGGGGGGTCTCTGTTCCTGGACACACTCATCCAGAATGGGGCGTCTGTCACACTTGGTTGGGTTTGGAGGAAAGGAAACAATTTGTGGCTCTTTTGCCTGTGGCCCTAATCTTCCTAAGATTTGGTATAATTTTTTGTATACATTGTCTTTATTTGCTGCACACCTGTAGGGCGGTTCATTATAGAGATTTTGAATGGGCGTGTGTGTTAATAATTGTCACTGGTTACTGCTGTTTTACGAGCAGGTGCATGGAACTTTTCACGCTTCCATCCACAGGCCAAACTAAAGGCTTTGTCCTAACCCTATCTATTTCCTCTGACTCTTTAAATTTTTTCCTTGAAAACCTAAGACAATTTTGAGCAAAGAAAGAAGCTTTTCCTATGTCA